TAAAAGTAAAAACTGTAAAATAAGGAATAGGAATGCTGGAAAAAATAAAATATAAAATGAAGATAAATACAGGAACAGATACCACTGAAAACTAACCAACTAACTTTTAAAATTAAATTAACTTAAATTAAATTAATTAGATTAAATTCACTTAAATTTATTGTATTTTATTTTATTTATTTTTTACTTTATTTTATTTTATTATAATTTATTGTAGAAGGTGCGTAAAAGTAAAAACTGTAAAATAAGGAATAGGAATGCTGGAAAAAATAAAATATAAAATGAAGATAAATACAGGAACAGATACCACTGAAAACTAACCAACTAACTTTTAAAATTAAATTAACTTAAATTAAATTAATTAGATTAAATTCACTTAAATTTATTGTATTTTATTTTATTTATTTTTTACTTTATTTTATTTTATTATAATTTATTGTAGAAGGTGCGTAAAAGTAAAAACTGTAAAATAAGGAATAGGAATGCTGGAAAAAATAAAATATAAAATGAAGATAAATATATGAACAGATACCACTGAAAACTAACCAACTAACTTTTAAAATTACATTAACTTAAATACAAATAGTGAGTAAAGAAACAAATGCAAACTGTGCAAAGGTTTAACACAGCTAGTGACTGAAACACTTGAAGAATAAAACTTGAGAGCTCAGGTAGTCCAGCTCATGGGCACATTAACGTTATGCTGCAGCTCCAACTGATTGGCTGTTTTTGAAGAAAGGTAAATCAAACGTCACATGATCACCAGGCGCTGCCTTCCGCTGAGAGCTGCTGCCAGATAATCGCTCCCCGCAGGACTCAGATGTGGAGCGAGCGTTACAGGTGGAGCAGAGTGTCGAGCCGGATCCAGGACCAGAAACACAGCAGCAGTCTCAGCGGTCTCTGCAGATCCCGACAGCCTGTCCCGGTGAGTGTGACGCGGACCGAGCCGCTCACTCGGTCACTTGTTTGTGCGCAGCTTTTTTCTCTGTCCCACTGGAGTGTTGTTTTCCACGGAGCTCGGGCGGGTTTGGGAATTAGACTGGCAACCTGTGAGGCTGAGAGGTGCACACACTGTAACTTCTCTGTCTTATCTAAGATTATAGGATATATCTAATAATAGCAGCTGAAAGCTACACTAAGCAGTGGTAGGATATGCGTTTAAGCAGCCGTGCAAACACTTCCCACCGCCGCGGACACGGACACGGACACGGAGAGAGGCGCTCCAACTTGTAGGGTCTCTGCTGAAAGCTCCAGTGCAAGTGTGAAAGCAGCGGATATGATATGTGGTTAGAGCCTGCAGGGAGAGTGCTCTGGGATCACAACTGTGTTTATTAATAAGCTTAAGTACACAGATCTTTCTCCAGTTAAACCCAGTGACAAACTATTGTGCCTCCTTTAAATGCGCAAATCTCTCTGTAAACACTCCAGAGAGAGAAACCAGCAGCTTGTGATCCTGTGGTCAGGTTTAACTTCTGTGGAACATTTGTCAATAATTTGATTTTTCTCCACATAAACAGCTAAAAATCTATTTAAATACATCAATAATTCACCAAGAGAATATCTGAATGCCTGTTTTTACGCTCTGTCTGCAGCAGTGTGACTGAGTTTAAGTGTCTCACAGCAGTTTATGAGATGTAAGGGTGTGTGCAGTTTCATGGAGGGTGAGAATTAAAGCACATGATGCATGTGTGTGACAGGCGAAGGGAGCAGAGGATATACTAAGTGCTGTCAGTGCACTTGCTCATGGGATTGCCCAATTGTAGCTGTCATAGCGCAGCTCAGTGGGGTCACAGGGTGTCAGTGAGAGGGCTGCACACTGCTCAACCTCATAGAGACGTAACTCACTGGAACTCTGTGGGCTGAGCTGAAGAGGACGCATGTTGCCTTTGTGTTTCGCCGTGTGTGCACGCCAGTATTTGTAATGACTAGTCACCAGATGCCCCCACAACAAAGATCATTTTCTCCCCTCAGTATTTGCAGTTAATCAGACTCCAGAACTCACCACACGGTCACTGAACTTCTGCTTCATGTCGGTTTACGTGTCCACAGCTGTACGTGCACAAGGTGACCACACAGGTCGGTTTGAAACGCAGCATCACTGACGCACTTGTTTCAGAGGTGGGACCAAGTCACAAGTAATGCTAAGTCTTTTTTGGGGCTGCAGGCTGAACCCACGGCCGCTGTGGCAAGGACGTTGCTTTGGTTCACCGCCAGATCACCAGACGCTCACTCTCCCCACTAAGTCAGGTCTGATAAGTCCCAAGTCAAGTCCCAAATCCTGAAATTAGGCTTCCGAGTCCCAAGCAAGTCATAATGTGCTCTTCACCAAATGTAATGCCATTTTAATAACACAGTAATTACATTAGCTTAGCATCAGCTCGCTAACTATGCTAATATCAGTCTCGACTTGCCGTTCTTTGTACAACTTCAAATATCGAACAAAGCTGGAAGTTGCTGCGTCTCTGTAATGTTCGACCTGCTCAATTTGCGTACTGCTGTTTTTGTTTTGTGCGTGAACAAGCTCGTTTTGGTCGCATTATTTTCCAGCTGGCGCTCAGTAGCATGACATCACACCTTCACAGTTCTTTCTGGCAGCCTGATTGGACGCTGTTGGATCGGTTCAAAGAAAGTGGATCTGGGGAATTAAGAGCCGACTTGCTGGGAATAGTGTTAGTTAGGTGATTCAGGAAGTTATTAGGGATGCACGATATTGGATAGTGGATTTTTTGCCAATAACCGATACCGATATATCCTCTTCTTTCCCCACCTAATTATTTTCTGTAGTGGAATTAACATTATGTTATGCATGTATATGTCGTGACGGCAATAAATGAAATGAAATAAAATAATTTTCAATTTATGAAATATTCATCCATCGTGCAAAATAAGAAAAACCATGTTGGACGATTCCAATAGTTCGTTTTACCGATGACGTGCCGATATTACCGCGCGTCCCTAGAAATGATTTGATTCGTTGCACACTTTTTAAAATAACATACTCTGTAGTCTTTGACCTTTCGGGGGGGGACACATCAAGTATCTTCAAGTCAAAACGCACAAGTCTAAGTGAACCTCCGAGTCATTGGTGTCAAAGTCCAATTCGAGTTGCATGTCTTTTTCAGTTTTGTCGAGTTGAGGCTAAAATGATCAAATGAGGACTCAAGTCTGACTCAAAGTCATGTGACTCGAGTCCTCATTTCTGTTCACTATAAACCAGCGTGTTACTGCAGCTCGTAATGAACTCACATACAAAGGTTTAGGATTGGAGGAGGAGGATTACAGCAGGAAAGAGCTGTTCATGGTTGTGTGTTTGAAAGCTGCGTATCTGCTGCTTCCATCATTATCTCTCCATTCTTCTGCCAGTACACCCAAACACAGTTCGTTGTACTGACTGGAGCTGAATTGGTTTGCCAATAGTCAATTAATGTTTCAAGCAAAAACAGCAAACATTCTTTTATTCCAGCTTCTCCAGTGTGAAGATTTGTTGCTTTTTTCTGTTTTATATCATATTGAAGTGACTATCTTTGGGTTTTGGAGTGTTGCTCAGACAAAACGAGACATCTGAAGGCTTACCCGGGGCTGGAGGAAGTTATGGTGGTTACTTTTTATAAGGGTCGGGGATAAATTCAGGATAGTCTTGTGATATTTTGCCTGGCAATACATGGGCGCCAAGTACAGATTTTTTAATTGCAAATACAAATTAAACTTTTGGTAGCCTCAAATAATAAAATCAGTTGCTTTTTGAGTTCACTTGATGCATTTTGCTGCAAAAAAAGTGGTTAAATGGACACGAAGAGACTGAAAACTTTATATAACTAGATAAAACACATGTTGATTAAGCTTTTCCTCAAGTAATTGATTTGCAGTTTAATGAAGCAAGATAATAAAAGGTAATAGTTTATTCAGTTTCAGTTTATTTACTTTATTAATCCCCCTGAGGGGAAATTTAATGTTTTCACTCTTGCTTGTCAATTACACACAGGTCTGAAAGACACACACATGTACAAACAGGACCTATACATGCACAAAGTGGAGAGATGTCAGAGTGAGGGAACTGTGTTATTGCAGTACTCAGCATGTTGCGAAAAACCCCAGTAATATTGAGTTGTGACTTAAGTATTGGATCATATTTTATCGTGGGGCCTGTGCTGATTCCCACCTCTACTTTTCTCTACTTTCTGATAATTTGCCAAACAATTCATCAACTGGCCAAAATAAATATTGACATGATTGTTGGCTGCAGCTCTGGCATTGACTCTATTAAGTTGAATAAATTCACAGACAGTGTCAGAGTCATTAAATCAGTTCTCGGTGTTGATTTAAAATCCGAACTGAAGTGCTCACCACATTTTGTTTTCATGGGTGTTCCCGACTGTCAGTAAACGTGTCACACAACACAGGTCGAGCAAGCTGAGATGTTCGGGTGTTCACATTTTCCTTTTGTGCCCGTCTCCTGCTGAGACTTGCCTGGGTGTGTGTGTGTGTGTGTGTGTGTGTGTGTGTGTGCGTGTGTACCTCCGTGTGTATGTGTGCGTTTAGGCGTGCATTTACACTCAACCAGACTTGTCTCATCGATGACAAGTAATTTGTCAGAGCGGACAGGCAGCTATCTTATTGAACAGGTTTTTGCATTTTCATGGTGCTGTTTGCTTTGGTTATCCATTAGCTTAATGATGCGTGTGGTGACATGCTTGAGGACTGTGCACACAGCATGTTTCTGAAGTATTGTTTTCAGCTAATTACAAGTCTCCTGCACATCAAAACAAAAGGTGGCGCGTCACTGTCATTATGATAAAGGAATGGTTTGTTTTAGCCATCTGAGCTCGCAAAAATATCACCCGCTGCTGAACTGGGGTGTGTTTTCCAGCAAGTGTTTCACAACAGAGTCTGTGACACAAGGAGTGTCAAAGGTGAGCAGCCTCCCACAACCGGTTTCCTGTTTAGGCTCCTGTGATGGAATACTGTATCACAGCCAGCTCACCAGCCGGCCTGCCAGTGGGCCGCTCAGATTACGTCTGACTGGCAGGAAAAAAGCCACCAACCCAGTCAACCACTGGCTCAACCAGCACCAAACCTGTAGACCAGTTAGTCAGCCGCTCAGGTAAATCAGTTACAGCCGGAGGAGGCCTCGCCCATACAGCACGGCGAAGTGCAGTCACACAAATGAAGACGTACACCAGAGCGCGGGCCCACGCGGTCACGTCTCACTCCAGCTGTTTGACTGTTCACACGGCTTTATGGATTTGTTATGACTCATGGCGATGACAACAGTGTGCCTGTCTGTGCACGTTTCAGTCGCTGCTGTTTGGAGGTTTTACTTTGAAGGCAGCACGTAGTGAGAATCCGTCGTAGAGTATTGTAGATACAGTGGAGGCTCCTGAACAGGCTATAAATACCCTCATGCTTTAAGTGGTTGGAGTGTCTGGAGATACTGCTGGAGGGCTTCTTCAACGTATTGTACTAGTTCATCTGCAGCCTTTTGAACCCACAGCTGTTGATGAGTAAAAAAACCCACCAGCAGTCACAGTGATAACCTTTTAAGGATTTATGCTTGGCGTAAAGGTGTGTGTGTGTGTGTGTGTGTGTGTGTGTGTGAGATAATTTTCACATCTGCAGATGTAAAACAAACTGTTTCAGTCACTCTTACTGTTTGCTCTGGTTTTGTTAAAGCTCATCGTCCATGACGCTGTCTTTGTGCTTCAAAAGACTTACAGTTTAACATTGTTTTTCTATTTATTGTAATAGGTACGGTACATATTTTAATTATAATAATAAACTTTACATAGAGCACTTCTCACACGAGAGATGTAGCTCATTGTGTTTCACAATGAAAATGCAATACATGAAAACAATATCAAAAAGGAAACAAAATTAGACAATGCAGAGTCAGTAGGTGTCGACCAGGAGGCAACCTGCGGCCAGGGG